ACCTTCAAAATTCATGTTCCTTCCATGCAGAAAGTGGGTTCCCTCATCCCACCATCTCCAAAAGTCTTATTTATTCCAGCATTAATTCTGAATTCAAAATCCCATCTAAACTTCCACTCAAAGTGCCCAAGCTCACCATCTAAATAATCTGTATTACTTACGAGTGTGACTTCGGGGATCATTTAGCCCAGAGCAAAATGCTCTTTCAGAGCCTCAGTAAAACCAAACAAAAAGTAGGCTTCTTCTAAACACAATGATGGGCAGAACAGACCTTCTTTAAGAGATAAATGGTAAGGGAGAAATTCATAGGTACCAAGCAAGTGCAAAACCTAGGAGGGAAAATCCCACTAGATTTTCAAGTTTGAGAATGATTCTCTGTGGCAGGATCCTGGGGTTCACTAGACCCATCTTTTATGCCCACCAGGACACTGGTTCTTAGTTGGTGGTCCCCACTCTTTGAATTCATAGAGGAAACCTCTGGACCTGGAGATACAGCACCAGCCTGTCTAGCCTCTGTGCCAGTCAGAGTCTTTCTTCCCTCCTTTTGGATAACATATTTCCAGCCATCAGCTGGTTTCTTCTCCAGAGTCCCAGTAGCCTGACAGTCTTCCTTTGTTTGAACCTGTATTTGTTATCTTCCATCGAAGCTTTCTGCTGACTGGATCCACAATCTTGGTGTTCTCTTCTCAAGATGTTTCTATTATTTTTTTGTTCCATATGGATATACTGAGAATTTTCCAAACATTGAAACTCTAGTTTCTCTTAAAATTTTTATTTATTTATTTTTATTTTATGCATATGAGTATATTATCTCCCTTGAATGTAAGTACGTACGTGTCATACAATACCTGTGGAGGCCTGAAGAGGGCTTCAGATCCCCTGGAACTGGAGTTGCAGACTGCGGCTGACTGCCATGTGGGTTCTGGGAATTGAACCCGGGTTCTCTGCAAGAGTAGCCAGTACTCTTAACGACGTGGAACTATCTCTCCAGCTCCTAGTTTCTTTCTTTCTTTCTTTTTTTTTTTTTTTCCGGCTACACAATTCTTTTTCAATTTATTGCTCTTCAGTTACTTTTTACTATAAATAACCAGGAGTAAACAGACTGTGCCTTTAATTCTTTGCTTAGAAATGTCCTTGGCTCCATATGTGGTCTATTGCTCACAAGTTGTTATGTTTGGATCTGGAAGGTTCTCCCATAGGCTCTTTTGAGCACTTGCTTCCTAGATGTGGAGACTTTGGGAGGTAGGGCATGGCTGGTATGAGTTGGCCACTGGAGGCAGGGCTTTGAAGACCGTACCTGCTCCCGGGTGTGGAGCTGAAACTGTGAGCCAAAATAAACCATTTGCCATCACTATGTTTATATCAGGGACTTTGTTACAGTGAAGAAACAGTAACTAATGCGTAAGTTCTCATTTCACCTGTTTTCTGTCATCTTTCAAAAGGGAGCACCTTTCTTTCAGTTTCTAATAATATGCTCCTGTTTGTATCCTACCCATCAGAAGCACCTTCATTCACACATGTGAGTTGTGTGTGACGAGCTTTCGGCTCATGTTAACATGTTTGGTTTCTGAGAGGATAGAAACTTTCTCTAGAGCTTTTCTATTTCTTTCCTAGGCCCTGACTAGGATCTCCACTACCAATATGTTTCCACCAACAATCTCTCCAAGGCATTTCAGGCTTTTCTACTGCACATCTCTGTAAACTCTTCCGGCCTTTGTCCACTCAGTTCCCAAACCTGCATTTTCAGATGTTCTCTTCTAGTGGTAAAACCTTTATTTACTTCCTAGGCGTGCTGAAACAAAGTATCCTCAGCTGCACACCTAGAATATATAAGTTCATTATTCACTGTAGTAGGGTCTGGAAGCCCAAGACCAAGGTATTGAGAGGACTAGTTCTGAGGGAGGTGAAGGAGCCTCTGTTATTTACCAGTGTTCTTGCCTCTGGTGACTTTTGGCAGTCCATGGCATTCTTTGGCAAATATGGGAATCACAAAGATTTCTGCTTTCACTGTCACACTCCTTATGTTTCCATATCTTCCTTCTGTGTTAGTCTGTCTTTTAGGAATATTCTATTGGGCACAGATCCACCATAATAATCTTATTGTAACTGGATTATCTGTGCAAAGATGAGGTACAGGGGAGTTGGGCATTTAGGATGCATTTTTGGCAAACATGCCATTTAATTCATGCTGGAAATGAAGTAGTAAACAATCTAACTTCAGTCTTGGTGACCACGAATTGACACCATGGAATGAAGAAAGACAAAAAATAAAAATGGAAAAAAATCCAGCAGGATTTCAGGCAGGACTGAATGCGCAAAATCATGTGTAGATGGAATGTAGAAAATGAACGTAAGGGGGAGAGGTAGATGGTAATAAAGAGTAGGCTCTATCCAAACAGATATGGTGGAGAGCCCAGGCAAAGGGCAGATAGTCTAAGAGGAAGAAACAGATGGTATACGGCTGAGGAGAAGCTGGCTTGGAGGGATCATAAGAGAACCAGAGGGCTGGGATGGCTGAAGTTAAGTGGAGAAAAAAAGGCCATTTTAAATGAAGAAAGATAGGATAAACAAGGAAAACGATTGCCTGTGGAACATGTAGGCTAGGGTAATTAGGTTCTGCTTTATTTTTAATTACATTGCACATCCATTAGATATTTTTTGTAGTAAAGTATGCATAATGTAAGATTTATGACCTTAACCATTTTTGTGTACAGCTCAATGGTATTAAACTCACTCATGTTGCTTGGCTACTGTCACTGTCAACCATCTGTCCACAAAACTCTTCTCATCTTGCAAGACTGAACCTCTGTACTCATTAAGCACAAATTCTCTGAGCAGTGATAAGAGGCAGTTTACATTTTTAAAATGTGACTCTAGGGGCTGGCAGGATGGTTCATAGGGAGCTTGCTGTGCAAGCAAAATGACCTGAGTTTGAGTTCTTAGCACCCATGTAAAAAGCTTGTCATGGGTGCTTGTGTGGGCCTGTAACCCCAGTATTGTTGGGGTAGAGACGGTTGGATACAGAGAACTTTACTGGCCAGCCATCCTAGTCAAAATGGTGAGTTTCCAGTTCAGTGAGAGACTTTGTCTCAGGACAGTAAGGTGGAGAGCAGTAGAGGAGGACTCTTGAGGCTCCTGTTCTGGCTTCCATATGTGTGTGCAAAGGCACATGCAAGCATACAGTCACATGCATGTGTCCCCCCTCCACCCCCCACAAATATGACTTCATTTTTAAAATATAGAGAAAATGTTGCTAGGTCAAAATAGAAACACTAACAGGAAACCTATGAGGAAAAATTACAGAAGGTAGATGATTGTCGGTGAACTACAGTGTTAGCAGAGGGGGAACTGGATGTGGATTTTTGTCAGGAAGTCAGACAGGATACGGTGATGCATTAGAATAAGGGTGGGGGAGGACTGTGCTCTCTTTCAGATGTGCTTAGTCTACATTGCCTCTTTAACATCCAGGTGGAGATGTCAGTTGGGTGTCTAAGATCAGAGCTCAGGAAAAAAGTCACTGTGTATTGTCATGGGAAAGTGGGTAGTATTTAAAACCATGGGAGTGGATGGGATGGTTGAAGGGGTAATTTAGAGAAGAGCTCAGGCATAGTTTCTGCAACATGCTCCTCTTTCAGAGGAAAAGGGCCCAGTGCATCTCTTAGCCACGGTTGCTTAGGGAGCCTGGTGCTACACGAACTTGGGTCTCTCTCTCTCTCTCTCTCTCTCTCTCTCTCACACACACACACACATACACACACAGAGAGAGAGAGAACCAAATTTCTTTTTAATACTTATTTTTTTAAGAGAACAAAATAATTTACTTCGAAATACTGATTTTAAATCCCATTATAACTGGTGTTAGCCTTGTTGTCCTGGGTTGTAGCAGAGGACCTGTAGGCTCCCCTGCTAGTTTATGTCTATATCTAAGATGAGTGTAGGATAGAGGGGATATGACAGAAGTGAGGAGAAACTTGATAATTTGAAGCTATTCAATACTTCTTATACTTAGGAGCACTTCATGTAAATATGATTAATATGTATTTAAGGAAAGAGGAGATAAATATTTCATTGTAAAACAGTTTTGATGGGCTGTGGCTAAGGCTCAGCAGGTACTTTCCCGCAAGCATGACTTGAGTTCAGATCCCCAAAACTCACATAAAAAGCCACACTCAGTGCTCCCATGCAGAGATAGGGGACAGAGACAACTCTCTGGAAACTCATGGGCCAGCTAGTCTGGCTAACCCCTGGTGAAACAAGAAACAGGGTGGAAGGTAAGGACTGACACCCTCTGTCTCCACATACATGCTGTGGCATGTATGTATCTGTACCCCCCCCCCCAAATAAACTTTGACTATCTCTTGTAAACATCCATTTAAATTTTCCCTGTCATAAGATATAGCATATTTATTTTCACAGGTCAATCACTATTGATTGATTCATCATGAAGGATTCAGAGGAGGTCCAAAATGTTGGAAAAACTATATAACTTTTATGCATATGATATTTTCTCAGTTCAAGTAAAAAAATTCATTTTTCAAAATGATATTTGAATTTTAATACTTTATCATTCCCAAATGTATTTTTTGAAATGCCAAAACCATAGCTTGATAAAGTCATGCTTTTTTGAATCTTTGTTCTGTTTTTCTGTTGGTCATTAGGTCCTGGGTCCTGACCTCTTGGATAGTATTCTAAGTAACGAATCATGGAAACATTGAATACCATCACACTTGTTTTTTGATTCTTTTTAGTAGTCTGATGAGGTTAACTAATTAGTTGGATTATTTGGAAATCTCTTACCCTTTGTTGGAGAAAATAAATCTGTTTTTGCCCATGTTCCTCTTTGCCATACTCAAGCATCTGGGGAATGGAAATAAGGAAGCAGTGAGCTTCTTAGAAAAACGGTAGATGAATGAAACAGGAACTGCAACATTAGCGAAAATAGAACAGGAACTGTTGCTCTTGTGTATTATTGCTGTTGTTCATTTTTTCTCCTTTGCTAGGAGACCTGTTCTGATGATGTGTGTAGTGCTCACCACACTTCCCAGCTTTGGCTTCTCTATAGCTATGACTGAGGTATGGACTTTTGATTTCTTCTAATGAAAGATTTTGATATTTTAAGATGTCCTGTTATTGAAATTCAAGAGAGTAGTATGCCAAAAACATTTTTTTAAAGATTTATTGATTTTTATTTTATGCATATGTGTGTTTGTCTGCATGTATGTATGTGCACCATGTGCATGCCTGGTGCCCACACAGAGGCCAGAAGAGGGCATTGGTTCCCCTGGACCTGGAGTGAGTGCAGGGAACTGAACTGGAGTCTTCTGCAAGACCAGAAAATGCTGTTAACTGCTAATCCACCTCTCTAGCTTCTAATGCAAAAACATTTTGTAACATTTATTTAATGGACCAATCTTCTTCTGAAATTGAGGGGAAAGTAGCATTCAATTAAAATTCAACCTATTACATTTTTACTTTAGAGTGTTACTTCAAAGTCTGAAAAGATAAAGAATTTCTGCCAATCTATACTGTTACATAGTTATCATTGATAAGTTATCCATTGATAAATACTTTGCATGTGTTAACTATTTGAAAATAACCTTATGATTTGATGAAATATGGCTTCAGAAGGACTTCAATGGGCAACCAGTCCACATGGCAGGACTATTGTAGGCAAAGTTCACAGGCTATAACTTTATTTTCAAAGGAAGTCAGGGGCCACTACTCTACTCATTGCACAACTTGCAAAGTTTTAGGGAACAGGATCACAGTAGCTCAAAGTTTCCAGGAACTCTAAAACTTCAGTTTGTTAAAAAAAATATTTTATTTATTATTTTCATTTTATGTGTATGAGTGTATTGCCTGCATGTAGGTAGGTGCATTCATGTCCTGCAATGTCCGCAGAGGTCAGAAGAAGGTGTCCAATCCCCTGGAACTGGAGTTATGGATAGTTGTTAGCCAGCATGTGGGTGCTGGGACTTGAATCCGGGTCCTCTGCAAGAGTAGCCAGTGCTCTTAACCACTGAGCCATCTCTGCAGTCCCTAAAACTCCAGTCTCTGCAATGATGGTATGTTTGGAATTTGATATAGCCTCTTTGGTTGTTTTCTAAGAAGTCTCACGCATTGTGTAATTTTCCTTTCTCTTTTTATTAAATTGTCATTGAAGTGTAACACATGTACATAAAAGTGCTCAAAGCATAGATGTAGAGTATCAATAGAGAACCATAAAGCAGACTCCAGTGCAAACACCACTCAGGTCGAGAAGTGCAGCATAGCACCTGCATCCCATGCTCTTTGCAGTGACCCCTTTTCTTTACTCCCCTGAAAGGTAACTTTGACTTTGACTTCTATGACAATGTAGTTTACTTATTTTTAATTTTCTACTAGGGAAAATCAAGTTATAGACTATATATATTATTTACATAATGTCCAGTTATCTTCTATTTTATTCAAAAGTGCAAGTGAGGATAATTCATGTTTTGTATATAGCTATTGGCCATCCATTTCTACTGCTGTTTCCTCAACTATTTCATTTTGGAAGCTGCTATAATTTATTTATTTATTTGTTACATGGTGCTGGAGATTGAACCATCATGCATGCCAAGCACATGCTTTACCCCCGAGGTATACCTTTTGCTTAACACTGCTTTTATGTTCCAGTTCTACAGTTTCATTCTGCTGTTGTTGCAGTGTGCGATTGAACCCAGAACCTCACACACACTAGGCAAGCACTCTACAACTGAGCTACACCCAAAGCCCTATCAATTCTATTTTCGAAGACAGTTTCAGCTGTTTCTAGTTTGCACGAATGTTGTTGAGAACATGCCTGAACACTTTTGCTATACCAGTGTGCATGTATTTCAGCTGATTAAATACATAGACATAAGCAGAATTGATGGGTCACGTGATATTCAAATATTCAGTGTAACAGATTACATCGAACAACTTTCCAGGAAGACTATACTGATTTCTGTAGTGTAGAATTCAGTAACAGAGAATGAATGCCTCGAGACTTCAACATTTTTACCAGCACTTGCACTGAAAAATCTTTTTATTTTAACGATTCTGATGGCTATATTTTTGAATCTCATTATATTTTTAAATTCATTTTTCTCCAAATTAATGAGGCAAATTAATGATAATCATTTCATCTTTGCTTACTTTTCAAAAATTAATTTAAGAGTGTTACACATTCAGATTACAGTGTATGTATTCAAACAGATCTTCATACTCTGACACCTTCACATTTTTATTGGTGTCTTTTGATGAACAGATTTTTTTTTTTTTTGCTTAAAATAGTCTGATTTACCAACTTTTTTTAATGGAAAATTCTTCTGGTTCGTTTGCTGAAAAGATTGGTAAATCAAAGCCTCAAAGTCCTGAAGCTCTTTTCCCATGTCTTGTTTGGAAACTGCGTTAAAGTTCCCCTCCTCCTTTGATTATTAGTCCAGTCAACTCTAATGGATTTGTTATATCATGGAGGGAGGGTCAAGTTGTATTTTTTCCAGTGAGCAGAGCACCATTTAGTAAAACATCTGCTCTTCCCGGCCTTCAACATGGTCTTGTCTTTGTTATAAGCTGGGCGTAGGTGTGTATGGTCTGTCCATGGGCTTTTCTGTTTTGTCACACTGCCTCGTTTTCTAGCATGGTTTATAGGCTATTGAAAGAATTCAGAATAAGGAAAGCAAACTAATGTGCCTAAATGGTTTCCTGAAAACAGGTTCAAAAGAACATCAATGGTTCTGCTACTTTATTGCCCGAGTCCCTGCCTGACCTGCCGGTGTCTCTGGTTCTGTTGTCCTTGATCCTGGTTGATATTATTGAAAAACTCAGGATATACCCTCTGAGAGGGGGGCAAAAGAGTAAGTATTCTTTTATTTTCTTCTTTTTTTTAAAAAATCTTATTTGTTTTTGTTTTTGTTGTTGTTTTGAGACAGAGTCTTCCTGTAGCCCCAGCTGACCTGGAACTCTCTATGTAGACCAGGTTGGCCTCGATCTCACAGAACTCTACCTGCCTCTGCCTCCCAAGTGCTGGGATTAAAGGGGTGTACCACCACCCTTGGCCCCCAAAGAGTAAGTATCTTTTTAAATATGAATGCTTTAAAAGTTTTGATATATCTTTTACCTTTAAGTTTCTCTGTTGTTGAATGAAATATTTAAAGATAGTTTTTCTTAGGAATAACATTACTTATAGAAAATTGAAATTGAAGATACTTAAACATAAATATTTTAAACGTATTTTGATGCCAGTTATATTTACAAAGTAACAAGTATTTTAAGGCCAATAACTTTAAAAAATAGTTATTTTTATTTTATGTGTATGAGTGTCTTGCCTGATTGTAGTATGTACACACATGCATGCAAAGTCCACAGAGGCTGGAGGAGGGCATCAGATACTCTGGAACTGGAGTAAAGACAGTTGTGAGCCACCATGTGGGTGCTGGGAACTGAACCCAGATTATTTGCAAGAGCAGTGACTGCACTGAGCCATCTCTCTAACCCAGAGGACAATAAACTTCAATATTTATCTCAGCAAGAAAATTACTTAAGTATACTAATGACACATTCTAGAATCTTTAAGTCCTTAAGTTTAGATGAATAAAATAGTTTTGAGCCTGGTTTGGTGGCACATACCTGTAATCTCAGCTGAGGTAGGAGATCGAATGTTAGAGGCCAGCCTAGGCTACATAGCCAGATCCTATCTCTAACAAGCAAACAACAAAAAAGACGTTTGTTTAGATATATTTGCTCCAAGAATTAGTATAATTACCATACACTGTACTTGTGTCGTCTTAGAGACTTGCATATTTTTAATTACAGATTATTAAAAAGATCAAAGTTCACATTAATAAAACTGAGACAAGGCATGTTCTGACCAGGCGATATGTTGAAGTATAGGCAGGACTTTAAAATGCATTTCATTAATGAATATTTTCTATGTTCAGCCATAAATTCTTTCAACTTTTATTTAGTTTCATGCACTAGTGTGTGCTTCATTTGTAACTCGGACTCTGTATCTCATGGCCAAGACTTTGCTGTGTTTGTGTTTGTAATGGACGAGTATTGAGAGATCACTTCGCAATAGGTGGATAGGGTAGTGTTTCACATGGGTAAGTACTAGAGCTAACCCATCATTTATGGACCACATACCACCACTTTAGAGTCACTCTTTCTCTGCAAATTGAAAGGAAAACTGCACCATAGGCCACTGGGAAAGCCGAGTCTCATTTCACACTTTATTCTTGGGTAGAAGATGATGGACTGGAATACCATTCAGGTGACGGGTACATGACAGACCTGGGCTACCTGCCAAGGGAAGAGCACTCCCAAGTTCCATCTGCCCTCCAGAATCAAGTGTGTTTGTTTTAAACTGGGCAGATTTGGGAATTTCCAAACTTTTTGTCCCATCTCTAGGCTCGTTAAGGGTGGCTCTGTTCTCGAGAACTCTGTATTTTACATATTAATGTAAACTTTCTGTCCAAATGAAAAATTCTCTTTTTATTTTTTAAAAAATGCATTATTGCCGGACGTGGTGGCACACGCCTTTAATCCCAGCACTTGGGAGGTGGAGGTAGGCAGATCTTTGTGAGTTCACGGCCAGCCTGGTCTACATAGTGAGTTCAAGGACAGCTGTGGCTACAGGGAGACCTTATCTCAAAAAGACCAAAAAAAAAAAAGAAAGAAAGGGTTTCAAAGAAGTCAGTCATAGGAAAAAGATGAGCACAGTACATGACTACTTCTTAGTTGAAAAGTCTCCTTCTTGAGCTTATTTATGCCCAAGCTTAGGAGGGTTGATTAATACACAGTTTAATACTTTCACTGTTGAATAGAATCACACTTTAAAAATAATGTTATATTATTCAATTTGCATACAAACTTTAAAAATAATGTTACATTATTCTTGTGTATAAACTGTGGACTAAAATACACCCTCGTTTTAACTTGTATATTAGTACAATAAATTCTGTGACTTTTGAGTCCACAGTGTATTCTCAGCTATCCCCTGGAACTTTCTACTCAAACATATTGGTTATATAAATCATTTTAAAATATGTTATTTATTTCTATTTTATGTGTATGAGTGTATTGCCTGCGTGTATGGAAGTGCACCTGTGTTGTACAGTACCTGCAGAGGTCAGGAGAGTGCATCAGATTCCCTGGCACTGGAATTACAGATGGTTATTAGCTGCCATCTCTGCAAGAACAACTAATGCTCTTAACCTCTTAGCCATCTCTCCAGCCCCTATAAATTAATTTTTAAGACAGTTCACCTGTCAGAGTCTTCTTTCCTTGGCCACCCGAGAGCTTGGATTATAGGTGTGCACAACCGCACTTGGCAAATCTGGTTGTAAACAAATATGCTCTAAATATAGTGTCACTCTGAGTGGAACTTCAGAATCAACTTTAGATGGGGTAGTGATGGATGAGGGATGGATGGAATTTCGAAGATCTGATTCCTTTGAGAAAGTTTAAGAAAAAATGAGCCTGTCTGTGCTCTGTCCAGAGTGTTTGAAATGCATGCGTAGCTATTAGCTCGTTAGCTTGGACTTCATCGTAGATAAACTGAAGTTATCTAAAATGCTTTGGGTTGTGGACACTTGTAACAGCCTTCATCATCTTAATTCCAAGCTAAAAGCTTGTGTAGCCTTTTCTTTTCCAATTATTTAAATAAACGTTATTGTATTTTTTGAAATACGCTTAACCAAGGAACTCTATTAGCTTCCAATTTCCAGTAGAAATACTGAAGTATCTGATGATTGTGATGCCGTAGATCCTGAGTGTATCATTTTGTGAGCACTGAAGCCCTAAAGGAGCAGTTTGTTGGTGCATGAGTCCCTGAGGCATGATAATTTCCTAGATAGACGTAGCCTCTAATACCTATCCCCAGCTACGACAGCAGATGACAAGAACACAACAGACAGCTTAAATATCTCTTCTATTCCTACCGACCTGTGAGTACAAATGTGGGAACTTTAACATTTCCACCTGAATCTCGTCAGTGAGTCCCCTACTAATGACTGGACTTCTATCGCCTCATCCTCTGCCATCTTGCTCTAGCTTCTATTTTAAAGCAGGTTCACATTGGGTGCTTTCATTTGTTGGACCGAACAGTTGAATACCTTGCACTCCGGTTTTGTTTTCCATTGTCAAAACCCGAGTCCTGCTGAGTCTCCCAGGCTCTTGTTTGTTCATTCAGCTATGTGCGGTTGCCTACCATGCCTGGTGAGTCTCTGCTCCAAACACAATTAGCCCTGGCCTTAGTTCTTTGGAATATAACCTAGTGTTCTTTCTGTGCTTTAAATGGACTTTATCTTTTTTTTCTGTCAGCTAGAATATCAACTTCCTTACACTGAATTCTACTTTCCTAGAGAGATCCCAAACAAAAGATTCGAAGCTTTGTTTGGAAAGGCCACCTTTTAGTTCCAGAATATACAGGTACAAGCATGTTGCCTGGACTTCAGGGATTTCAAGTAATGTCTATTCTTCTCCACTGGACACCACCCTGTTCCCTCCTATTCATAGACCTGAGACCGAGTTTAAGTAGAGCTAAGAAATTCCTTTTGAGGTAATGGATATTCAGTGCCTTTTTTTTTTTTTGATGTGTATGAGTGTATTGCCTGCATGTATGTGAGTGCGCCTGTGCTGTGCAGTGCCGTGGAGGTCAGAAGAGGGCTTCCTATTCCCCTGGGATTGGAGTTAAGGACGGTTTGTAGCTACCATGTGGGTGCTGGGAATTGAACCCGGGTCTTCTGCAAGAGCAGTCAGTGCTCTTAATCACTGAGCCATCTCTCCAGGCCCCGTCAGTGCCTGAATCTTAATGATGCCCAACACTTGATTCCTTTCCCTGCCACCATGATTCCTCAACCCCAAGAAACCAGATGCAGACACTCACACATGACAATATCCATGCCTAGGGTAGGAGTTTGAAGTCCATCTGCAGGACTCACTGTGGTAGTGCTTGTTGCCTAGTTTAGATCCCTTGTTACAAAATGTAAGAGTACATTGTTCAAATTCCTTGGTGCCAATTTGTAGAGTATTATACATAGCAAAGGAAAACTAATTTTGTCTAAGGTATTGGAGGCCTGGAATTTTCAGGAGTTTGTAGGTGGACACATAGAGGAAAATTTCTCCTCTGAAGGAAACTTGGGTCTCAGGGAAGTCAAGTGCATATGTAACCCATGGGCGTTCCTGGGAAATAAAAGTAACTTGATTAGATTTCACGGTGTCATCAGTCAGCAAACCTATTGCTGGAATGGAAACTACCTTCTTAAAAACCAGCTACAACTTCTTTGTCAGTTTGTCACTTTGGAAACCTGAAAAGTTGTGTCAGGACCTATTAAGGAAACTTTGGGAGAGAGAGGGCTTGGGGAATGAAGGGGGAGTTAAACTGAGCTAGAGGTGCCGAGTCCTCCTTCAGTCAGAGAAGTACGATTTTTCTTTGGGAATTCTGTGACATGATTTTTTTCCTGGAGAAAAAAAAGATACTTTTCTGCCCCAAACTTGAAGACCTGGAATTGAGGAGCTCATGGAGAGCTGTAGACAGTGCCTATTTCTGGGACAGAGATGGCCTGCCTCTCCCTAGGCCCAGCACCCTGGGAGACATGGCTGTGAAGCATCTGAAGGCAGGAGACCTCATCCAAAGCCCTTCAGTTCCTGAATCTCTGGTCGATACAGTGTCTAAGACTAGCAGGTCCATCCTGATGGGGTACACACAGGGTAGGGGCATGATGTCCTTGAAAACCATGTAACTTCTTCATTATGGCATTTTGAATCCTTTAATTTTTCATGTTTTATTTTTCCAAAAGAATATATATTGATTTAAGAAAATTGTAAAATAGAGATTTCAAATAGGAAATGACAA